GATCAAATGGTTAGTCTGAGTGTGTTTGTTGCTGCCAGGGGGGTGGGGGTTACTGGTTTTTGTATTATGGGTTTTAATTCTGTAAGCCACCTGGAGTCACTGTGTGTGAGTTGGGTGGCCATGGAGAATTGTTTAATAAATAAATGTGCAAAAGACTCAGCCCATGGATGCAGAACCGTATTTTTCAATCAAGAGCCACTAGTCCATGGAGAGGAGGGAGAGAGGGCCCTTATTGGTCTTACTGACAGCTTGGTGGCTTGAGGACACTGTAGACAAGTCCTAGAAAGGAAGAACTTTGAAAATACAGATGCCTGTTGAGTTGTATTTTCAAAGGTATCTCTCCTAAGCAGACAAGATATGCAGCTTGGCAGTTTCTATCCAAGAACTTGTGGACCCAGATGAAATAGGGTTGCAGGCCATATATGCTCAGCAGGCCAAAAGTTTCCCTCCTTTGCTTTAAGTTTTTATTCCCAATGTGTGGGTAGCACTGAGACTTCAGCAGAGCCTTGCTTACTTTCTAGCTACGTGGTTCCAAGCCTTAAGCTACATATCCATTTTGTTTCTTTTGAAAGCATGTCCCATCTTTCTGTATAAAATACAATCTAAATGCCACCCCCCAGACAAAGTAACAAAGTGAACTAGCATAATGCTATCTTAGAAAACTAACAAAATAAAAATATAGGCTCCAAATAGCAGAAAGCCAACAGTAACCCAAATGAAACAATTTTTCATAATTAACCTCAAGCAGCACCAAACGGATCCCAGAAATGCTGTGTGTGTGTCCATCCAATACTTGTCAGGATGTAAGTCCGGAATTGATGGGTTTTCCGGGGAAGCATTTTTGAGGCTATCTAGAATGAGATTATAGGTATTGAATAGACCTTCAAGGAGATATTTGGGGGGAACAGCTGTCCTTCAAGTAGCCACCTTCCAAGCTTTTTAGAGAAAAGTCCACCCAGAAATAAAAAGCCACTGGTGCAAAATTAGTAACAACAGATATACTCTAAGGCTCAGTGACTATCATTGCAGCAAGATCTTCTGCCAACTGCATTTCTTGCACAGGAAGTTCCACTTCTGCACCACAGTAACGAATCTGTATTACTCCATTTGCAGGTGGAAAGAATTTTTTTTTTTAAAATTTTCTCCCCCCACCTACCAGGAATGACAAAAAATCCAAAGCAAACCTTAGTACATCTCTGGAAAAAGCAACAGTTGAAAGGAGGAGGAGGAGGCCGCTGTCAGGATGGATTGGGATTTCCTTGTTTAAGATTCAAGGAGTGGTGTATATGAGGAGACTCCCTGCTGGCATCCTTCCATCAGGGACTGGACTTTACTATTGCAAATTGCCTTGGGTTTCACATGTAGATGTATTAAAGAAGACACATATCTGTATCTATAGCCAATCTTATCATCTGTAGCCTAACATTAGTTGATTCTAATGTTTGTGTGAAATGGGCAAAGAGGTGAACTGGAGTGACCCTCAGAATGACCTAGTAAGAGAAGTCTGACAGAGCCATCATTACCCATATATTCAGTAGAAAAAGACCTCTTTGCTATGGTTAGCATAGAAGAAAGTAACCGAGACACATGGTGTCCTTGAAATTGGAGGATGGATTGGGAACCATCTGGAAAAACTCATTTGGGCCAGGCTGAACATTCAGGATCCAGTTGCCTACTCCCCACCTCAAGTCCTGTGTTTTTTTCTCCATACAAAAATAATGACTCTGTGTAACCGCTCACATCAACTTCAGGCAAACCAAAACCACAATGGAACTGTGAATTTAGTATGCACTTCGTCTATCAAAAAGTGTGAAATATTTATTTACTTCACTAATTCCACCGTGGCCAAAACATGAAGAAGGGTGCAGTGAGCGCTTGCCAATTGTAATTGCTCCCCATAGGTTGAAATGTTAGACCAAGGGGAGAAATAGCAAACTTTAAATGTTTACCCCATACTTACGTGCTAGGTAACTAGGTTTCAGGCCTGCTGCATTTTGAGAAGGATAATTAGGCAACTGTTCCCATGTAGAAAACACATAAGCAGTTACTCCCTGCGTTGGTATTGCTAAAGCTGTTTCTACACAATCAGGTCCTTTGCCATGTTTAGCACTCCTGCTGGGACCTGATTATAACTGTTAACTCCAAGACTACCATCCCTGAACTATGAAGCCTATAATGACCGCTACAGTCTCCTGAGTAGGAGGGAAAGCTGTAAGGGGAATATCATTTCAGCAATGCCACCTGATGCACCATCTCAGGACAGGGTGTTGGTCACATGGATATACCGATCCCAGGAAAGTGCTAGATCTGGGTTGCTCTGGGATATCTGTCCAAGTTATTTCTCGAATGGAAAATAATCTCCCAATATAGACACACAACTACGGTAAGTAATGGCAATTCACAAGCCATTCCAGATGGGAATGCCCGACAAAGGATCAAAGGAGATGGGAGCTTCATGGCAATTAGGTTTAACACCAGGGCATCACATCGTTCCGATCTGTAATCCTACTTCTCATCTACTGCCCTCGGACAGCCTGCCAGTTGATTGCAGACCTCTTTCCCACGGGTCATGATGCCTCCCAATTCTTGCCAATGCCTGCCACTACATTGCAGCACATCCCTGAATTCAGAGACAGTATCACTCCTCTTTTTACTTTCTTTAGCCCCACTAATTTTTGTGATGCACAATACCACACTGTCAGCCCTTCAAGGTAGGCCAGGTCAGGAATCAGACCCTGCAAGGACTATTGGAAACCTATTGTAGGCTATAATAACAGAATCTTGAAAGCCTGCCAGTTTCTCTCCATCCTCTCTTACCCCATGCAGAATCAAGGCGGGGTTATTTTGCTTTCTTAGCTTTCTTCTTCCCCAGGGCTGAGATTTCACTTACTGTCTTTTTTACCATTTTGTTTAACGTTTTTGCATTCCTTTGCTATCTCCACTTCCCTCTGCACAGCACATCCCTTCAGTAGTGCCTCAGAGTTGATTGAGGCTTACATTTCTGGTAAATGAGTCCAGAATAGCAGAAACTGATCTCCAGTTAGTGCAAAGTATGAGGATGCAGAATTAACTTAATCCTCACTAATTTAAGATTGTCTGCTTGTACAGTTCTACCCTTCTTTCAAAGAGTTCTGGGGGGGCATCCATGGATATCTTTCCTTGTCCATCATATCCTTATAATAGTAGAAACAGAGAAGTAGAGGAGCCCAATAGCTAATAACACACGTCCTAGTGAGTATTTGAACCCAGACCTCCAAAGGTCAAGTCCAATAACAATCCCTTTACATCCAGGTCTCTTCCTATCACACCTCTCACTCTGTATCTTAGGCAATGCACTTCTATACTGGAAAGAACACCTGCTGAGCTTCAACTGGATTGAATCCCAAGCAAGAATGATGAGAGATTTGAGATCATAAGGTCTTCAGCTTGCTTCCCCAACATGTGGCACAGAGAAAAAACAAAAAGTAATGCCTTATGAATAATTTTAGAGTTTTGAAGGAACAGAAACAGCTTCTTCCCACTTAAAGATGTTTTCAGTTAACCAAACAAGGCAACTTCCCAATGGTCACCTAACGTATTAAGCCCTAGTTAAGTTGAACACATGTGTTGAATAAACCACAATTGGTTGCTTTTAACTTTCTTAAGCAATAAGGCATGGTTTGTAAGACGTAATGTCTCAGTTTACATGACACCCTAAACCAAATTCCAACCAACCACGTTATACTTTTGCTAAGACTACTAGATTGGGGTTGCTAAAATCTGGATGACTACTAGATGGCAGCAAAGATTTAATGTTTTCTGTATCCCTTTGCTGCCACCTAGGGGTCATCTGGGATTCTGCAGTCCAAATACGGTAGCCCTAAGGTTAGAGTGATGCGCAAGCCCAATTTACAGCATACTTTCCCAAATATTAACGATATTCTTAAAGTGCCATGTGGGCAAATGAAGGGAAAATGGTATCTTAAAACATAGCCATCAGGAACTCAGGCTCTTGTTGAAACAATGGCTTGGCTTTAAGATGATGGACAAGAGAGAAGATAACAGTAAAGCTAATGTTTCTTGCTGTTTCGGGCCAGATGCCAACCCCTCCCTCCCTACACTGTTGACTGAACATCCAACTGCAGTTCCTAAGCAGCTCTGCCTGCAAAACAAGCCGTGCTGCTTCTCTGCACCAGCAGATGGGTGAGTGCATTGAAAACACAAATCCCAATGTTCCCAGCACTGTCACGTGATGATGACATGCCACCACTCACCAGGAAGTCATGAAAAGCAGGTTGGAGCAATCCAATTGCTTGCTTCTATCCACAGCTTGTACATTCTCAGCAGCAATACTAGTGTGAATGACAAAACAAAACTGGATCTCCAGAAGCTGGAGCAGAACTGAAAACTCCTACATGCCAGAAGGACCACAGCTCTGCTCCAGACTTAGCATGAGAGAAAAAGCCTCTACACTGGGTGACTAGGCTCCAACTTCCATCATTCCTAGGAAATACAGCGAAGATGGCAGTTGTAATCCCAGAACTTCTAGCAGGCCGTGGGTTCCTCACCCCACAGCAAGAACCTTTCAGAAATTCCAGAGGGAAGAAACCCATTCAACCCTTTGCAGCATAACCAGGACAGGCCTTGTGGCTCTCTAAAGACTAACAAATGCATTATTGCCTGAGCTCAGGCAAGAACACATTTCTTAGTTATTAAACTAACCCAAGGCTGTGTGTTTGTGCATATTAATATAGAAGGGCCAAGTGTTCCTTCCTACTATTTTCAATTCTCCAAAGGAAACTTAACATCCAGCTCCAATCTTGCTTGAGCATTTGTTTTTCTTACATTGATACCTCCCCTCCAGGCATGTTCTCGAGGCAGTTGCTTAATCACTGAGGGTGTAAATATTTTTCCTCCTAGCTACCCCTGCTTTGAACATTATCCTACTAAGCTCTGCATCTCTATCTCCTCAAGCAATGAAATCGTTGTGTTTTATTTTTGAAGAAGACAGACAGAATAGATTATCTTCAGTTGCGTTTTATTCAAACCCTGTATCCCGCTGAGTGGGTGAGGCAAAACAGGACAGGTCCACCCCCATTTTACCGCCCGGTCTGTGCAACTCAAGTTTTAAGCTCTGGAGGTACTAGAAAAACAAGTTGAATTTAAAAAGAACACAGAAGTCCAGACAATGCAGGTACCCCACACACTGCAGCCTGTGGGATGGGTCACTGCAAAGGGCCCCTTGGTATCTGAGCACCCCATCATGGGTTTCAGGCTGAGGTCTTAGTCAGCCACACCCCTACCAAGAGGGTGCCTCACAGCCAGCTCCTAAGGCTTTTGGTATCCATCTTGGATCAGGCCACACCCAGAGTTCAAATCTTTGGTATCTGCCTCCACTTTCCCAGGGGCCTCAAGAGCCAGTCGAGCAGAGCTTGTGGTAGGCCAAGTTTCCTAAGACGAGCAGCAACATCTCGGACGTGCTGCTCAGGGCCACAATAAAGGGAGCCTGGGAAGCAAAGTCAGCCTGGGCCCTCTGGAAGGAGAGCTGCAGCACAGCCAAGGCCAACAGGCTGTTCTGCACCCCGATCTCAATACTAACCGTCCGACGCTGTGGCCCTGGCAGTCCTAAGCACCAAGCCAGCAGGTAACCCAGCAGCAAGCCAAAGATGGGCACGGTAACACCAGCCAGGATGATGGGGGGCTGCACGCTGGTTAGGATAAAGGCTCCCATATGGTAAGCCATGAAGAGGCCTCCGACGATAAGGGTGAAGCTGAAAGGTTTGATGAGGAGCAGGAGGAGGCGGGAGACGCGGGGCAGCTTGCATTTGACCAGCATGCCGGCAGAGATGGGCACTGCGATGAAGAGGAGAGTGATGAAGATCTTGAGGAAGGGCACATGCAGAGTCTCATGTGCCCCCAACAGCCAGCCGTAGAAGGTGGAGGAGAGGGGCATGAGCCCAGTAGCTGCTACTGTGGATAGGAGAGTCATGGAGATGGCCACGGTGACATCTCCTCCCAGCAGAAGACTATAGAGGTATCCACCACCACCACCAGGGGAAGAGCAAGAAATCACCAGTCCCAGAGCCAGTGCCTTAGGCAAAGAGAAGGCCAAGGACATGAGGTAGCCATAAAGGGGCATGACAACAAATTGGCCTAGGATACCCAACATGACAGGATGAGGCTGGTGAACCAGGCTTCGGAGAGCCTCCACCTCCACCTTGCAGCCAAATGCACATTTATTCAGAAAGATAAGAGGCAGGAGGGCATAGAGGATAGGGTTCTCTGAGAAGTGGCCCAGACCCATCCGTACTGCTGGCTCCAGATCAGAAGCGTCAACCCGGATCCGGAAATCAGCTCGTTCCTCAATGAGGCGATTCTGTTCCAACAACCTCAGCTGCAATGGGGCCAGACCGACCAAGCCAGACTGGAATCTGACCATGAAGCCTCCTCCCCAGGAGGCACTGACATTCTCTATGACTACCACCGTAGGCTCCAGGGAGGACACACTCAGCCAGGCATCTGGCCCCAGATAATGGCATGCTACCAACAGAACACCCTGGCTATGCTCCGGGAAGCTGAATTCCAGAACTGTTCCATCCCCAACATTCAGATAAGGGGCACTGACTGTTGCTTCCTGTGTCCAGCCAGCTACAAAAAGATTGAGGAAGAGGAGGAAGAGAATGTGTGTTCCAGACATGGTGCAGAAGGCTGGCAAAGGCATGCTGTGGGTTCATTCCATTAGGGGTCTCCTTGTTCCAGCACCATGGGAATTGTGTTCACTCAGCAGGGATCATGTTCCTCTTAACCTCAGATCCATAGGCACCTTTGATGCATTTATATGAAGACCTTCAACCTAATCAAAGAAGGACAGTGAGTACGTTGAGGCACACAATAATTTATGCAGTGAAATAAAGGCAGAAACTGTTGGGTTAGTGATCAGAGAGGTAACAGACATAAAGGCTGAATCACTTCATCCAGGCAGGGTGTTCTGGGTTTGCAGCTGGGGCAGACATAATACAAACTGCATTTCTGTTAGAAAGTCACTATTCCAATGCTCACCATTCCCAACTTTTTCCAAAATTATGCTTCCTTAAGCCACAACAAGAGTATCTCCAACTTTGCAGGGACAAGGAGTAGAACTGTCTCGGGACTGGGGCCAAGAATCCCCCCCAGAGGATTTTGACATGTCTTAAAGCCCTGAATCTGAGAGAATAGATCCAATAACTAGAACCAGAATATCTGCAGTTGTAAAGATGAGAACATTATGCCAATTGATCCAAATCTCTGGCAGCCTCTATCATTCACTTCCTATATAGGCTAACGCTCCACTGTATGCGTTAGCACAAAATTCTGCCAGGGGGAACATATATAGAGTTGAAGCCATCATGTTCTACAGTTATACTAGTCTCAGTCTGCAAATAATACAATGGCAAAATGTTATTTTGCCTGAGGCAACAAAAATCCTTGGCACAGCTTTGCTTCTGTGTTCTCCTAAATGCCTTGAGCAGATGTCAGAGTAGTTTCAAAACCACCACTGCTTTTTCTGTAACATGTACATCTTCTCTCCTTAGGATTGTTTCAGATGTATGAAGCTTGTTGGCAACCCCCTCCTCAGCCCCAAATCTGGACTTCTTTTAGGAGCTTTCTTTGACCTGACCCCACTGAATATTATTAAACATCTTCCCTTTTTTTAAAGCTTTGCCCAGGCAAAACAGATTTCCAAATGCAGCCCTCTCTGCCAAAAATTATTCCTAACGGGAAGGGAAAAAAATACGATGGTGGAGCCATCTCCGACCAAGTATTGACAGCCCAGAGCAAGAATCCTCCGGACAGTCCCTCCCGCGGCAGCAGAAGGGGTGAGAAAGCGGAGACCGGTGAATCGGCGGATTCAAGGCAGGTAAGTCCCCCTCCCCTTTATTTCTCCTGTTCCTCAATTCAGCTGAGTCACTTCTCTCTTAAAGCTACAAACACCTGTTGGGAAAGAAGCGGATGCCCCAAAAACTTCTCCCCCGGATTTATTAGTAAGATAAGAGGAACATCAGATCGTCCTCTTTCCTCTTATGCCCTTCCCACACCAGTCTCCCCTAAACTCAGAGACTGCGCTCCTCCTTTCCCTCGGGGAGAAGGGGGGTATCTCGGTTCTCGTTCATTGTGGCGGCGGGGGGGGCGCCCTGACACCACCTAC